GAGGAATTAGAAAGAACGACACTCTGCTTGCCTGGAGGGGAGGGGCTTTCCCTGCTCTTTGTTCCGTTTCAGCAATCACAGCAACGAAACAGAGGAGGGTGGGCAGTAAGACCCTGAGGCAGAATGCAGGAAAGCAGTCACGGAGAAGGGAAACCTGAAACTCTTTTCAGGTTTCCCTTCTCCGTGACTCGCGATTTGACTTTTGCTTGATTTTTTGGCTCCAGGGACCACACATTCGCTCTATAACACGCACAGACATTTCCCCTTCCTTTTTAGGAGAAAAAATCTGCGTGTTATAGAGGGAAAAATACGGTATGTTACAACAGCAAAGGACAAAATTATGATACAAAATTATGATACTCAAAAGTTACATTTCACCTAAAACAAGGAGCATATCCAATGAGAATATCACATAGCTTCTGGAGCACTTGAGTCCTGTGTCCAGTTCTGGGAGCCACAATTTAAGCTAGAATGTGTGCAGAGGAGCCAACCAGGAGTCTGGAAACTAAGCCCTATGAGGAACAGTTGAGGAGTTGGGCAGGTTGAGCCTAGAGAAGAGAGGAGATATGGTAGCCATCTTTAAACATCCAAAAAGTTGCCCCATGGAAGATGGAGCAAGCGTTTTTTATGTTGCTCTGGAGAGTAAGACCCAACCCAATGGATTCGGGTTACAAGAAAAGATTCTGACTAAACATCGGAAAGAACTTTCTGATGGGAATAACTGTTTAACAATGAAGCAGACACCCTCAGAAGACTGTGGACTCTCCTTCATTGGAGGTTTTTATGCAGAGGTTGGGCTGTCATCTTTTGCGGATGCTTCAGTTGCAATTTGATGACTCATGTTCTCTTCCAGTTCTAAAATTTGATGTTTCTCTAATAGCTGGTGCAGTAGTGAGTGACACAACTGGTTTTATATGTCCAGACCATTTTGCAGTGGTCAGCAACCTGGCTGTCAAATTCTGCACAAGCTTTAGTCTCTTAACAGGGTCAGATTTAGGAGTGTGAGTGCACATGCACTGGGCGCTGAGCCGAGGGGGGCACCATCTCAAAGCCAGGTAAGCGAGGCACTGGGATTTGGGAAGGAGGCATGAGCCCTCAGGCCGCTAGCACTTTCCCAGCCAGGTGCTCCCTTACTCACCTTTTCAGTACCTCCTTCCCAAAGCCAGGTGCTTCCTTACCTGCCTTTGGGAAGGCTGGGCAGGGGCACCAGCTTTTGGCCTCGCACAGGGTGCCATAGTACCCAAGTCCACCACTGTTCTTTATCTTCAAAGGCAGCCCTATGTATAATGCATTGCAATAATCTAGCCTGGAGGTTACTAAAGCACAGCTAGCAGATGTTAGGCTGTCCCTGTCCAGAGAAGGGTGAAGCAGAGCTGCCAGCAGCAGCTGATGGAAGGTGCACTGTACTACTGAGGCCACTTGAGGCCCAAATTGCAGCAATGGACCTGGGAGTACCCCCAAGCTCTGCACCTGCTCCTTCAGAGGGAGTGTAACCCCATTCAGAGCAGGGCTCATCCCACGCATCAGGTTTAGGGAGCCGCCCACTCACAATCTTGTTTGGACCAGGCTTCAGTTTATTGGCTCTCATGTGATTCAAGGCATTGGTCCAGAATATCCACTGCTGCACCTGCAGGTGTAAAAGAAGAGTAGAGTTGTGTGTTACCAGATGATTGCTGGCAGCATGCTTCAAATCTCTGGTTGGCCCCCATTCAGTGGTTTCATGTAGATATTGAACATCATGGGGGATAAAATTGAACACTGCAGAACCCCACACTGAAGGCTCTATGGGGCTGAAAAGCACTTTCAGAGCATCAGCCTCTGAAAATGACCTTCCAAGTAGGATTGGAACTACCACAGTGTGTTGCCATCCACCCCCAGTTCAGGCAGCTACAATAGGAGGATACCATGTTCAAGGATACTGGAAGCCACTGAGTGACACACTCCTGACAAAAGTCATTATATGAAGCAGCCAAGGCAGTTTCGAGGTCAAAACTGGACTAATCCCACGATTGAAATGGAAAATGGAATGAAACATGGAATAACTCAATAAGTTATTCTTACTTAGGAACTGGTTTGTTGCTATTGCTTTATCATACAATGGCTATGCATCATAGCTGATTATACATTTTAATTTAAAATTTATAATGAAATATTAAACTGGAGGCACTTGTTCCTTTCTCCAAAACCTTCATCTCCAGGACCATTTTTACATAGCTTGCCACTTAAGAACTGAGTTGTGCTGCAGGATGGTGTATCAGCCACTAGCATATGAACATTTCTAAGATAAGAAAATGTCTTTATAGTATCTGCTCACCAGACATGCAAAGACTGAAGAAGCAAAGCTAGTCTTGACACAGCTGGGACTCCGCCTCAGGGCCACGTGGAGAGTGGCAGGTGATGGGGGCAGCAGCAAACAGCAAACAAATGTTAGGACCTCTGCAGCATCCTTTAAAAAATATAGTCAGAGGAGCTGGCTGAGCAGGTACCTGTTTGCAGATGTTCATTTAGCTTCTTCTCAAACAATGCTTTATCCTAAACCAGCTTCAGTCTGATTTGAGAACTAGCTATATTCAACTGGCAGTTGAAGCCCAGATTTCCTGCAGGTGGGTGGTCTTTCATGTCCCCCGCTTGGCAAAATTGGGGTGGGGGGGAGAGATGGTAATAATGATGATGTTTCTGTCTCTACACAGCTCTCTCAGTAAAAAGACAATCCAATACACTTGCTTGCACCCACAAAGGGAGGGAGTCAATGTGTCTCTGTGCCCCTCTGTAAAATGCTTTCCCATTAAAAACAGACATCCCAGTTCAAGAGCATTCTAGGACTGCTTTGCAGCATATGCAACAGTGAGTTTTTCAGTGTGATCCTAACCATGTCCTACTCAAACACAAAGCCTATTAAGTTCAGTTGGACTTTCCCCCAGATAAATGGGAATAGGATTGCTTACCTCCATTACTTGAGAAGAAAGCCTCTTGAACTTACTTCTGCACCATGGACTGTGATCTTATGCATTCACATTTACTTGGAAGGAAGATGACAGCCGTATGGAGTTTGGGATGAGTTTGGGGCAGGGAAACTAGTCAGTCAATTCACATCAAGTTAAGACATGATCCCCACTTCCTCCCCACCCACAGGTGTGGGCAGACAGCGTGGAAACGTGAAAAAGGTCAAGCTCAAACTGAAACACGGCGGGGGGCGGGGGAAGAAACCTGATCTCCCTGTTTTAAGCTGGTAATGCCAGCCTCTATCTCTTTCTCTGACCAAATTAAAATCTGATTGCCTTTTTTTGGACGCTCGCTCAGAGGCAGCCTGTAGAAGTGTCCCGCATTCCTGCTCGGCCTTCATTTCCCTGCCAGGGGACGAGGTGGTTGTGCTTCGAGGGAGCGTGCAGGAAGGGCCTTTCGCACAATTACACTGATGAATGTGATGTGAGGAGAGGTGACCTCCGCAAGGCGATAAGGACACTCAACCCTTTCCAGCAAGGCGGGTGTGTGTGTGTGTGTGTGTGCTGGGTACACTGGCTGACCCAGGTCTGACCCCCCCATGTGTTCTTTCAGTGCATGGGGGGTGTCTGAATGCCTGCTATGTTTCTAACTGCTTGCCATGGAACTGGAAAATGTTCAGCCACTTATGCTGGGGCGGGACATTGTCTGCCCAGAATTCACAAGTAAATTATAGGAATGTAGTTTCACAATTGTCTGTGAAGTTTATTCCGCTGGTCATCTTACATTTTGCCTAATCTCTAGGTCGTTACTTAATATTTGTGATCACAGCTGGTAGTAATATAACTGTTCAATGGTTTTTTCTGTTGATGAAATTTTTGTTTCTTTAGAGGATGTTTGCTAGTGAAAGGAATTGCGGCGGTGATCTCTGGCGTCACTTTGTGTGATGTTATTTCAGAGTTTCCCCCGTTGCGTCCTTCGGTGCTTCCGGCATATTGTGTCAAACTACCAGCTGGATTCTGAAGTAAACTTCAGGAAAGTCCACGCCCTGAACAAGGAGATATTTCTGCTCGCCTTGAGAGCAAGTTTAGAGCAGCAGGTCTCCGAGAGAGGCCGGATCCTGCCCTCCCAGAGTGCTCTAAATAGGGAAGCGCGGACCCTCGGGCTTCCCGAGAGAACTTCCTCGCGCTCTTCAGAAAGCTCAGCCTGGGATCGGTGCCCCCCCCCCCCGCAGGGCCCTCGCCGGCCGGGGAAGCGCTCCTGCCAAGTGTCTCTGCGAGGCGACAGGGCGAGAGGAGCCCGGGCGCCGCCAGGAAGGAGAAGGAAGGGGCTGCTGGCCTCGCTCCTGCTCAGGTAGGCGCCTCGCGGGGTCTCCTTTCCCGGCCAGAGGCCTCCGGGGGGGGGGGAGGCGACGAAGGCGAGAGCGCGCTTGGCGAAGAAGGGCGAGGAGGCGCCTCCTGCGCCAGTGGGACCCGGGCGGCGAGGCGGCGGGCCGAGGGCTCGTCAGCGCCGGGCGCACCTGCCGCCCAACCCTGGCCGTGCTCCTTCCCCGGCTCGGGCGGAGTTTGGCGCGCCTCGCTCGGGCAGGGGCTTCGAGGGGGCTTCTTGTTTCGCTATGGGATCGGCACAAAGGCCCCCCCCCCCCCCCGCCCGGCAGCCTGCGCTTTGCCGCAGCTCAACTCCACTCCTCCCGTTCAATAAAGGAGGAAATACAATAGAAAGTCGCATGTTGCATCATGGGAACCGGGAGGACCGAGTTGTTTTTGTTTTGAGATGCAGGATGCGGTTGCTATTTCCCCCCTCCTATAAATTTACCACAAACTCATCGCAATCCAGTGAATTAGATTAACTAATACATTAAGATAATCTATTTGGTGTCCCATTTTCTGTAGCTGGCAAGCCATCTTGGTTTCCTTATACAATTATCTTCACAGTGGCTGGACCTGGGAATGTGGAGCATCGTCCCATATTTCTTAAATTTTCTCTTTGCCTGTCATGAGTCGTAGACTGAATATCATGGCTTCTGGGATGGCGTTGCTCGCGAGAATACCCGTTGAACACATCTTCCACGTAAAAGTCAAATCAAGTGCTGTTTAATAGGTTTAGGTATAAATTGCCTCACAAATTGTGGGAGGGGGGAGTAGGGGGACATTACTTTCAAACTTCCATTATACTGCTATCACAGAAGTGGGGGTGGATAAGGCAGGGTGTGGGAGAGGGACATCTGCTTGCCATTGTGCCCTTTCTTCAATTGCTCTGCCTGTTCTTATACTTACACTTACTTGACTTTCAAGTAACCTTTAAGAACATGATTTATTGCTGCGAAACCTTTGTTTTTAAGAAATCTTGTCTTGATTGCCTTCTAAATAACAATCATGCAGTTGTGCCCATAGAAATGTAATTCTGTAAACAGCAGATCAATGAAATAGGGAATTTTGCACATGAGGGCTAGAAAGTATTCAGGCCTTTGCTTGAATGGATGTGGAAGAAGCTGTGGGATTGTGCCTGCTAGCATTACACCTTAGTGCAATCCGTGTAATGTCTGAAAGCACCTACAGGCATATTAACTATGTACACACAGATCTCCCATACGTCACGTTGTGTGTGCATAGAGAGCATGGTCAGCGGGCGTGACGGGTATAATCCTGCTCCCTCATCACTCTGCATTCTGAAGGGTAGCTACAAGAAAGGAGATCCCAACTAAACCACCCCACAACACACAAGATGCCTCTGAAAGGAAAATAAGCAATCTTTACTAATTTTGAGATGCTGAACACAAAAACAAGGGGGGTGGGGTGGGATCTGTTGATTGGTTCCTGTTTAGAAGATACAAAGATGGTCATGCATAAGCAACCCACGCCATACTGAGTACAGAATTTCATTTGGTAACACTGCATTTCAAGCTTCTGGTTGCGACATACGGTGCCATCTTGCACCAGCTCATCAGGTACACCAGGACCAATGGCATGCAGCTGAGTAGTGCAGTTGAGTCATGACATTGTGGCTTTATGATTGCAGTGTGGCGTAATGGTTAGAGTGTTGGACTAGGACCTGAGAAAGCTGGGTTTGAATCCCTAGTCAGCCATGAAGCTCCCTCGGTGACCTTGGAGTCAGTCACCATCTTTTAGCCAAACCTACCTCACAGGGTGGGTGGCGGGTGGCGCTGTGGGTAAAACCTCAGCGCCTAGGACTTGCCGATCGAAAGGTTGACCTTTCGATCGGCAAGTCCTAGGCACTGAGGCTTTAACCCACAGCACCACCCGCGTATATTTACCACTATAATAACAATAAAGGTAAATAAATAACTAAGCAATCATTAGTATAAAGCAAAGTATCAACTGGTGAGCAAGTCATTTGTGTGACTTTGTGGGCTACTCTCCCATTTACCCTGTGTCATAAGTTCTACACAAGTGATCCCTGCAGTGTAAATCCACCTGTAGTGATGCCTCGTAAATGTGTTAATAGTGCAGATAACTTTTGCTACATTTGCGGGGAAGTGACATCTGCAAGCCAGAAAAAAGGCCATCACTCCAGTGGTGAAAAATGCATATCAGCTTTATTCTGGATGGCGACAGAACCAGCTCCAGCCCATCTCCTTCCCTTCTCCCTGATTCCTTCACTGAGTCCCTGGGCAGGCACAGCTGAGTTTGGTGGCCCCAACTCCACTCTTGGTAATACGATATGTGAGACAATTCTAAACATGCAAGGCTGTGAGCCAGAAGAATCCTAATTGTCCAGACATTATACTTGTTGCCTTGTTTAAAGATGCTCATTCTGCTGCTATAAATTCATACTAAGTTTCTCCCTTCTTTTGACAGGGAAACCCCCATTTGTGTCCCAAATCAACATCTTGAGAAGATGAGCGATGACATCCTGTACCATTTTGCTCTGGGGACTGGCACCCATGACTTCCCTGCCTTGTTTGGAGATGTAAAGGTTTGGAGATGTAAATGGTGCTGGTGACAACAAGGTCGCAGGGTTGATCCCCATGTGGGGCAGCTGCATATTCCTGCATTGTCTAGTGTGAATTGTTAAAAGGTGTCTTTGTAGCATGAACAGGCTTTTCATATTTCTATTTTTTAAATGTTTTAAAAAATGCATTGTTAAATATTTCCATGGTTAATATTCTTACAGTTTCCTCTCTTTGATCTTGCCTAGTTTGTGTGTGTTGGAGGAAGCCCTTCGCGAATGAAAGCTTTTATTACCTACATAGCTGAAGAGTTGGGAGTTGGCAGCCCAGGCCAGGACTACCCCAATATCTGTGCAGGAACCGATCGTTACGCGATGTACAAAGCAGGGCCTGTGCTATCCATCAGTGTAAGTGGGCCAGATATTTGTGGGCATGCAATACATTGTCTATCAATTAAAACTGAATTTTCTCTTTTAAAAATATCTCTAAATTATCATTAATGCATTATTAGATTAGATTGGTATATATACAAACTGCATATGTACAATTGACAAAGGACACAAAACTGTGGGCTAATGGGGGCTTTGGGCTTGTGCTTTGTGTTCCTCTGGAGCAGCCTTTCTTCACCTGTGGGTCCCCAGATGTTGTTGAACTACAACTCCCATCACCCCTAGCTAGCAAGGCCAGAGCTCAGGGATGATGGGAGTTGTAGTCCAACAACATCTGGGGACCCACAGGTTGAGAACCACTGCGGAGGCTCCAGGACAGGGCAGCCTCTCACAATGGAGAGGTTCCTTCCTTTGGCTTCAGGGCAGAAACTAAAACCATCTAAGGGAGCTTTCTGGCATGCCCAAACTCAGCACTAAGCAGGAACACTCCTCCCCTGTCAGGAGATGGGTGATCCTTAGCACTGGGCTCAGGAAAGCATTCAGATGTGCCAACCAGCTCCCTGCAGAATGCTGTTGCGCTCAAACTCAGCGCTGAATAACAGAGAGAAATCTCTTCCCTTCCCCTTTAAGCACAAACAGTCTTAAAGAGGAAGAGGAACAATGTAACTGTGTTACAATGATCACAAGAAATTACATATTAGTTACTATCTCATCACATTTTCTTAATGGTAAAAAGAAAAGAATAAAGTTAAAGAATATGAATTTTTCTTTTAATTTGTTGAGATGGAAAAAAGCACATGTTTTGTGGTCAAGATTACACACTAAACCAATGTACATTTTATTGTCCTAAGCTCATCTGATTTTCCTCCTGACATAAAATGTCTTGTCAGTTCACCAGATGAGAAGACAAAGCTATCGGTACACTAAAGGGTCATTAACCTGTTCTTTATTTTCTTGCAGAGGTGCTTAACTGAGCTTCAGGGGGCTAAATAGAGAAATCCTGAGTCACCTTGCATGTCATACTAATGATTGTTTTTATTCACATTTAAAGTGCCATTGTGAAAACCTGTTGCCAAATGATAAAATTTGGGGAAATAACTTTAAAATTATATAGAACATGCTAACAATATAATAAAATGAAAAATGAGTCTTATTTGTTGACATTTTCATGGAATTACCCAGGAATCCATGAAAATATTCCCAAATTAATTTACAGGTGGCATATTACACCCATTAAATTGAGTGATATACGGATTATAGAACAAAGAATGCTGGAGAGGCTATAACACAAAAGGAACTTTCTACCACTTGTGGTGGAATTGCTCTATAGTCAGTCAATTTTTGCGAAAGGTATTTGAGGAAATTGGCAAAGCTGAAAGCTTCCATAGTTGTGTTGCTATTTCTGTTTGACAATCAATATGCTGATATACCTTACAAGGTTTTTGATAACTTTCATGTTAGTGACAGCTTACCAACTGATTGCTAAACACTGGGGAAATGGCCTATTTCTAGATGGTGCGCTAACCTTTGGCAAATGGTCCTGGCTGAGAAATTAACAGGTAGATTAAAAGCTCTTAAGGGTTTAAATAAAATTGCCTTTGATGATGCATGATGTTGCTTTCTTGCTGATGTGAATAAATGTAGCCACACTATAGTTCCTCCAGTTTTTGGAGAGACTCTTTTAGTTAATATACTTGACTTCACATTGTACACTCTTGCAACCGCAAGTCTCTTTATCATTAATATTTGCTACTATGGTTATCTACAGACCGTATTTTGAAAATCTCTGAATAAAAAATGGCTTTAGTGCAATATTTTCTTTCAGGATAAATGCTTTGCTGGCTTCCTGCTTCAATGCTTCAATATAATAGAAGGTTGTAACCATCAAAATAGTTATTTTCTTCCTTTCCCACATCCCCACAATAACCTAGAACAGAATGATTTATTCACTATGAATTTTCCCCCACCCCCCCTTTTTTCATTTCAGCATGGAATGGGGATTCCTTCCATTGCTATCATGCTGCATGAACTCTTCAAGCTGCTGTGTCATTCCAAGTGTTCCAATGTAACCATTATTCGTATCGGCACATCTGGGGGAATAGGTATTCCTCATGCCCTTACTACTTTAAAGCAAAAATTGAAATGAAATCACAGTTATTGGTTTGTGAGCTCTAGATATAATTATGAAACATATATTTGAAATGTAGGTTTGGCACCAGGATCTGTGGTGATCACCAAGCAATCTGTAGATGCCACCTTCAAACCTCAGTTTGAACAGTTTGTTCTGGGAAAGCCTGTATATCGTAGCACAAACTTAGACGAGGAACTGGCTCAAGACTTGATGGAGTGTGCCAAGGAACTGGATCAATTCAAAACAGTCTTTGGGAATACCATGTGCACTCTGGATTTCTATGAAGGTAAGGCTGAAAGGGTGCAGCCATATTCATGAACAACAAAGCAAAGGAAACAGAAGAGAAGCAAAACATTTAAAACGTTCGCTAAACAACAAAACGGAATAATATTGAAACAATAAAATCTGAATATTTGGATAATTAAACCAATAGTCCCCCACAAGTCTGACCTAGTTTACACAAGCAGAATCTTGATAGGTTAAAGGAACAGCTTCACCTTACATTTTAGACTACATGTGAGGGGATTATTCTCACAGTTGAATGCTTCCCCATGAAAAATAACACATATAACTGATGGTGTGGCCTAATTCTCAGAACTATGTTCTGATCTGCACATTGGTCCAAGTAGGGTGGAGGGAAATGGGATGGTTTGGTCCCAAATGCAGAGTGAGCTGAAATCTTCCCCAGCCATACAGTAGCTCTGGTTCCATCCATTGGCCAAAGTTCAAGCGGTGAGCCGGGTATAGCTGATCAGGCAATTCAACTCCATGGGGTACTATTGTAGAGATTTCATTGCATGTATTAAAATCTGCATTTCATACATTTGTAGGCCAAGCTCGTCTTGATGGCGCAATCTGCTCATACACTGAGGAAGAGAAGGCACAATATTTAACGGCAGCTTACAAGGCCGGAGTCAGGAATATTGAGATGGAATCCTCTGTTTTTGCAGCCATGTGCAATATTATTGGTATCAAAGGTAAGCAGCACATGTGTCCAGTCTCACATAAGTCACTAGTTTCAACAGTCAATAGTTTATCATGTAATTCATAGCCACAGAGGAGTTTTAATATTGATCATACATGCTGAGTATCTTAATGCTTTAGTATAATTTTTAATCAGTAATTCCAGGTGCAATCCATAATAGCTTATCTAAGGCTGGAGACAGACAATAGTTTAAAAAGTTAAGTCTGAAAATCTTGGGCTCAGTTTTTCTTTCAAAGCTCTAAGCCTCTTGCCCTACATTCTGAATCCAGAATAACAGTATATTTCATAACTATTGCTGTGTCCATTAGATCTTCTCTTATTTTGACCAAAACATGCATACAGTTCATGTTTGATGTTTGTTTGATGTTTCCAACTGATTTGATGCCACTTGCAGTTTATACTGCTTCCTTCTCTTGCTTGATTTATGATTTGGCCCTTTTCTGGTCCTAAGCAGCTCATGTGGGATGCTTGATAGTCTCCCGTTACCCCTAATTTGATTTCAGTCGAAGTTCAACATATGTCCGCAGTGCAGAATTTCCACTAATTAGCCATGACATGATTAAGAATGCTTTTAGGTTTGAAGGTGAAGAACCTTTAACTAGATCCAAACTTCAGAACCACAGAAAGAAAGCTTTAAAGTATCCTATTTTTTTTTAAAATATAAGAACAAATCACAAGAGCTGGTTCTGTGGGGAAAAGTGAGGTAGCAGCAAATACACCACAGCAAAGATCTGATGAGTTCTGTCCTGCTGACCACAGCTCCCTGAGGAACAAAATAATCACCCTGTGTGCACAGAGGAACTTCCTTGCTCTTCTGTTTTTTGAAGGTGGAGGTAAAACAGCCTATGAGCTTGTTAACAAATGCCCAATTCCTGCTGAAGGTTTTGTTTCCATTGTGAATTGGCTTTATCTGTCACTTTTCCCTATGTTTGACTGTTTCTTTGTTTGCTGGGTTAATTCATCAGTTTCAGTTCATCTTATCCTGGGTAAAGTGTCCTTTTCCCCACATGGTTCATAGTGTTAGTTTCAAGTAACCTCTGTGTATTGGTCTTGGGTTCTGTTTTATAAACGCAGGTGCTGTGGTCTGTGTAACACTCCTGAACCGACTGGAGGGCGACCAAATCTCCACCCCCCACGATGTGCTGGGTGAATACCAGAAGAGGCCGCAGATATTGGTGGGGCACTGGATTAAGAAACGTCTTGGGAAAAAGTGACATTGCCATTTTTAGTTAGCTTTATACTGTAAATAAATACAAAACTCAACATTTCTTCATTTTTGAATTCATGATAAATAACCTTGTAACTCAGGGGTGACAAGCTTTTTTGGGGCTGAGAGCACATTTACCCCACGCTCAGGCTTCTGGGAATGGCATCTCAACGTAGGCATGGTTGAGGTGTAAAAGGGGACATGTGATTTTATTTTTTTTAATGGGCAATGTTAGAAAGCTTGGAAGGGGCAGAAAAAAACCTTTTAGAATCACAGCAAGGAAGCCAGTGAGAACAGTAAAGGGAAAATAATTTTAATCAATTAATTTATTGATTATAAATGGAAAAATAGTTTGGTTTTACAGAGTTCTAACCCCAGCAGAAGAGACGTGTTGGTTAAACCACAGAGCCTAGGACTTGCCGATTAGAAGGTCGGCAGTTCGAATCCCCGCAGTGACGGGGTGAGCTCCTGTTGCTCGGTCCCAGCTCCTGCCAGCCTAGCAGTTCGAAAGCATGTCAAAGTGCAAGTAGATATATAGGTACCGCTCCGGCGGGAAGGTAAACGGTGTTTCCATGCGCTGCTCTGGTTCGCCAGAAGGGGCTTAGTCCTGCTCCCTCAGCTAATAAAGCGAGATAAGCGCTGCAACCCCAGAGTCGGCCAAGACTAATGGTCAGGGGTCCCTTTACCTTTACCTTTTAACCCCAGCAGATGTTTCTTACTGGTGCATGAGGGTAAGCTCTACTATAAAAATGGATATACAGGCAAGGACCAATTAGCGTGTGTTCAGTTTTTACCCAACTGCACACACGTGCATCTAGGTGACCTGGAAGTGGCCAGAAAAGGGGTCAGAATGGGCTTATACACGCTCTGCCGTCACGTGTGATGAGCCAGAATGCAACCCCCATGCAAATCAGGGGTTGCCTGTATAAACTGAGAGCCTCTGGAGGTTTAAAAAGAAGAAGAGAATTTTCTTTCTGTTTGGTATGATTTTATTGTTTACGTTAATAATGCAGAACATAACCAGTCTTCGCCAACCTCCGGCCTGTGGATAATACAACATAGCAGGAATACATCCAGAGCTTCACAAACTATGGTTTGCTGGAAATGCAGCTGACCCCCCTTGCAAAATAAGGAGTATCCATGTTTATTGTGTTTTTAGAATGTTCTTCTGAGTGACGCATTGAGCATCAAACCAGCCATGGTTAAGTTGTTTAACTAAATAGTTGGGTTTAGAGTTGACCATGAAAGGTCCAATTTCCAGGACTATTTATCAAAGATTTTTATGGGATCAGGATGAGTCAAGAGTTGGTTGGGAGAAGTGGAGGACATTCAACACTATTTGTTACGATGCCCTTTATACGGTATATATCCCCTAGACAAAAATTCCTCGATTGCATCCTTTGCTCTCTTTCCAACCGACCTCCCCTTGAGCAAATCTATTTTGCTTGCTGGCAATAATGTATTTATTACTGCACTGGTTCCAAAATTTGTCTTGGCTGCAAGTAAGTTGAGAGCTAGGCACCAAGACAAGTATCATAAGGGGGAGTGTGAGACGTGGAGTAAACTTAGGCAAGAGTGATTTTTACATTTTTGTAAGTTTGCTTTGCTGTTGCTCAGTTTTAAATCAATTATTTGTATTCTACGCATTGTGACCAATTGTGACGGCTTATAGCTTTTAGTAATAAAGATCTATTCATTCATTGTGTTTTTAATTTTTTTATAGGCTTGTAATTTCTATTAAATTAAATGTCTGGAATGTATTGCTGATGTCTCTGGCCCTCTTTTTGTCTCTTGCTCTGATTTTTCATGCCTCTTTGTGATGGTTTTTTTCTATGAGTGATTTTTCATTTTAATTTTAAAAAAGCATGTTAAAAATGTGGGAAAATTGGGAAGGGGGTCCCTTTTGAGTACCACAGTATCCCATTGGGGGTTCCATAGGAGTAGTCAATAATATTTTGTGTTTTATTTTGCTTAAAGAATTACTAGTCATTTAAATAACAGATTTTCCTGCAGTGAAGGAGCGTTGTCCTTCCTGCTGACTCCACTTGGCAGGACTGGGCAAATTAAGCAACTCTTACTGTTATGTATTGAAGTTCTCCCCCTTCCCACCAGGAGTATCGTTTTCACTCAGGTCCACGTCAGTTACTTTAGGCGGGAAACCCTGGGTTGTTGTTGCTACAATGCTGACAGCCGGCTGCCTATAAAAGCAGGCTGGCTGAGCTGTTGGCTGTTCAGTTCTGTTCTAGCTTACAAATAAAGAGCTGCTTTGGAGAAATCGCTGCGTCGTCTGCTATGTTCACCCACAACTTAACATTTACCTTGATGGGCGGCGGGGGGGGGGGGCAGCTGCTCCAGTTTTGATCCTGCCTAGGCTCCCTGTGCAGGTCGTGGGACAGACTCTGCCTTCAACTCTCTTTTGCCTTTGTGTTGCTTGGTGTGTGAGCAAGAGAGAGATCCTGTCAGAGAGGTCCTTTGGGGTAGTAGCCAGCTTTATTCTGAGCACGGCACAAATCCCTTGTGGACTCCCAGCCTTCTTTTTTCAGCCAGGGCCTCCAATGGGCAGGCTGGGGGAGCAGAGGCTTCCTGTGGCCGCAGCCCTGTCTCCTTACCGGGTGCCTTTGCACCCTGGCCCAGGGAATAGGGCTGGGAGAGGGGGCTATCCAAATGGGGTGGGGGTAGCAGATTGGCTCAGGGAGCTTGTTTCGCTTTCCCTCTCATCAACACCAAGGCAGATTTTGATCCCGGAGGTCAAGCGGGGAACTTTGCCCTTTTTACCTTTAAAATAAATAAATAAATGTTTTAACTGGTTGTATAGTTTGGGGAAAATAAGTTCTCAGTTTGGAAGGCTTCTGTTGTGTGTGTGTGTGTGTGTGAGAGAGAGAGAGAGAGAGAGAGAGAGAGAGAGAGAGAGAGAGAGCACACACCCAATGGTCCACTCCTGCCATATGCGTGTCTCTCTTGCCTACTGCACTAATCTGGCTTGGAAAGGCATTGCCTTCCCTGCAAAATGTTCCCATCTGGCTACACAACACAGCAGGCATCAGTGGAGTTCTGAGTTTCTTCTCGTAGCTTTAGCTAGCTTGTTTGTTTCTGTTTTGGAGAGAACAGGAATTTAGTGGCCACTGGATGTCGCTGGTGCTCCACAAAGCAAAGAAAGGAACAAGAGAGTTTTTTCTCCACCATTATTTGGCTTGTTTATTCATTTGGCTTGCAAATTATCTTTTAACTGTCCCAAAACTTTTTTGTGTGAAATTTATGCAGCTGACTTCAAACTGTTTGTTCTGAGGACCAATTGCACAACTAATCGTGCAACGTAAATTCTACTAATGTTAATTACTGAGTGCCATCTCCCTGGGCGTCTTGCAGCAATGGGGTTCTCGGTTAAGCAGAGGTTTTCCTTCAGCTCACCTGATAATTCCATAAACAACCTTCCTGAAATTTGTTTTCTCCTCTTGGATTCTGCATTCTTCCCATCTTTTGCTTGTTCAGGTTTAATGGTCCCTTGTAGTGGTGGTGGGGAGTTCCTTTTACTATTATTATTTTACAAATTGGTGGTCTTTTCCATTTTTTTTGTTTACCTCTATTTATGTATGTAACGGTAACCACAGCGGCATGAAATCTTTATGCTCATGACTAAAAGAAGGAAGCGTTTTTGACAAAAATCATGGTTTATGCAGAGATGGCTAAACTGACAGCACTTGATAAGAGACTCAAGTTTAGATTCTTTCAAGGTGGACTGGAAATACTTTTTTAGTCTATTTAAAAAGTAACTACCGTATTTTTTGCTCTATAAGACTCACTTTCCCCCTCCTAAATAGTAAGGGGAAATGTGTGTGCGTCTTATGGAGCGAATGCAGGCTGCGCAGCTATCATAGAAGCCAGAACAGCAAGAGGGATTACTGCTTTCACTGCATAGCGATCCCTCTTGCTGTTCTGGCTTCTGAGATTCAGAATATTTTTTTTCTTGTTTTCCTCCTCCAAAAACTAGGTGCGTCTTGTGGTCTGGTGCGTCTTATAGAGCGAAAAATACGGTATATACAGGGCCGTCTTTAGCAGATGCAGCGCCGGGGTGCAAATATCCACCCAGTGCCCCCAAATTACCACAGATAGTGTTGGGGTGGCCGTAGCTGCGCACTGCCAGCCTCCCGGTGTGTGTGTGTGTGTGTGTGTGTGTGTGCAACTCTCCCCCATGCCGCTGTGGCAGAGCAATCCCTGCAGAGACTTGGGAGGGAAGCTGCGTGGCCACCAGCCTTATGGTTGGCGGGGTGCAGCTGGGGGGCATGCCGGGAAAGGGGAGGCCGCTGGCAAAGCCGAGCAGCTCCCCCACTTGCTGGGGCACCCCTGAGAGGCCGGCGCCCTGGCGCAACGCACCACTAAGCTCTATGGGAAAGACGGCTCTGTTTATATATGAAGTCCACATTGGGGTTTGAAGTTTAAGGGGGGGAAATAGTACATTATATTAAGTGACCTGTCAACGAGGATGAAACTCAGTATGAGGGAACTTTAAAATGCAACTATATGTAATTACAGGTAGGATAGGATTATAATTATTGAGTGTTAAAATGTAATTTTGAATCTTGAAACCAAATAAAATATTAATATAAAAATCTTAATGAAAAATCAGTATCTTATTGCACCACCAGTCCTCTCCATCAGTCCCTGATTGCTGGGTCCCAAATTTACTGGGGGCAAAGAAAGTACCTTCACTTATATATTATATGATCCTGTGCATGTATAGGATGGTCTGAACCCATGTGGCCGAGAAGATGAGTAAGCCACACTTCAAAGAGCGTCAAAGGGCCTTGGGTCGTAAATGAGAGAGCCCCTTTGAACTCTAGCTTATTTATTCTAGGGCTCTGCAACAAAACATGTCTATCCCCATCGGTTTCTACAGCCACAGCAGGTCCTGCAACCGGCCAACAGTTGGGCCTCACCTCCTCCATTGTCTCCCAAGATAGAAGGATGCCAACCTAGGCAAGAACTAGCAGAAGACACACAAACACCTGGCTTTCCTGCAGCAGACAGGAGTTGGAAGACAATGAAGAACGCTACTGGCTGCCATGAAAAGAGTAAATGGAGACACTTCAAAGGGAAAAACAAATCAGACATGCAAAATAGTTGCACAATTGGAATTGACATAGAGAATTGTTGTGTCGTTTGCACAACTGTGTTTCCTGTGTTTGCTGAAATGGAGTCTGACTCATTCCTTCTGCAGTGGTCACAGGAATAGAAGCCAGTAAATTGCAAAAAAGGACACAGAGCACTGGATTGTTTCACCAGCTGCCATGGGTGTTGGTGATCAAGAAATTCCACCATCTCCATCTCTCTCTCTCTCTCTCTCTCTCTCTCTCTCTCTCTCTCTCTCTCTCTGTGTGTGTGTGTGTGTGAATGAGTACATCCACACTCTTCAGATGAATTGTAAAGTTTCTTCCATTGCAGCAGTTCTTCTCTCGCGTCCTCTCAGCTGCCTTGGCTGGAA